CACTTCCCCTTAAATGTGTCGAACAACAGTCAAGACTTGCAGAAAGCATGGACGCAGCACTTAACTCAGTTGACATTACTCCTGACATTGAATCATCCTGGAAGGCTTTGTGTGGGGCTACGCATACCACATCTTTTGAGGTACTGGGTCTGCCTATTCGCAAGCACCAGGATTGGTTCGATGACAACAATAATGAAGTACAGGAGCTAATTCAAAAAATGCACAGTTCTCATAAGACATGGATAGAAGACAAGAAATCATCCGAAAAAAAGAAGGCATACACTAGTTGTAAATCTCAAGTTCAAAAAGCCCTAAGAACGATGAAAGAGGCGTGGTGGTCCAAACAGGCGACTTCCCTCCAGGAAGCGTTTGATAGAAAGGATTCAAAGGCATTTTATGATGGCATGAAGAAAGTGTTTGGTCCCCAAGAAAATGGTGTTTCTCCCGTTTTCTCCACTGAAGGTGACCTTTTGACGGACAAGAACGATATCCTGAAAAGATGGAAAGAACACTTTGATTCCGTCTTGAACAATGCCTCATCCACCAATGAAGATGTGATTGCTTCAATATGTCAGCGACCTGAAATCCCGGAACTCTCGTTTGAACCGACATTGCAGGAAGTTTTAAAGGCTATTAAGCAAATTTTGGTTGGAAAAGCACCGGGCAAAGATGCTATCCCACCAGAAATTTTCAAATACGGAGGGTCAACACTCGCTAAGAAACTTTTACATTTGTTTATTGAGATTTGGAGACAAGGAATGGTCCCACAGGACTTCAAGGACGCATCCATTCACCATCTGTTCAAAAATAAAGGGAACAGAAAGATATGCGACAACCACCGGGGAATTTCTCTTTTGTCTATAGCTGGAAAGATTTTGGCCAGACTGATTTTGAACCGAATAATAACTCATGTAATTGATGACATCTACCCTGAATCACAGTGTGGCTTTCGTGCAGGTCGCGGCACCATTGATATGATTTTCTCCTTACGACGGGTTGCTGAGAAATTTCGTGAGAAGAATCAAGAGTTGTATATGGTGTTCGTTGACCTCACGAAGGCGTTTGACACAGTGAACCGTGATGCCCTGTGGAAGGTTTTGAGGAAATTGGGAATACCGGAAAATATGTTAAAGGTCATTATCTCTTTCCATGATGGGATGAAGGCTGAGGTGGTGTCAAATGGTGAAACATCAGATTCCTTTTCTGTGACGAATGGCACAAAGCAAGGTTGTGTTATGGCCCCTGTTCTTTTTGCCCTCTACTTTTCTGTCATGCTGAAACATGCATTTGCAGGAGTGGAAGACAGCGTTAAACTTCAGTTTAGAACAAGTGGGGGCCTTTTCAATCACCAGAGATTCAAAGCCAAAACTCTGACAAGGATCAGCATAATCCGTGATCTGTTTGCAGATGATGCTGTGCTTGTAGCAACTTCTTTTGAAGAAGCTCAACGCCTGATGGACAAGCTCTCTGCTGCTTGCAAAGCATTCGGTCTTACCATCAGCATCTCAAAAACAGAAGTTGTTCACCAGCCTGCACCTACACCCAAGCAAGTGCAAGACGTGAAACAAAACCCTCCTGCTCACAGGTTCCCTGATATACCGATTCGTTTTGACGAAAATGACCTCAAGTATGTGAAGAATTTTAACTACCTAGGCAGTAAAGTGAATGCAAGTGGAACTCTGGATGACGAAATTGTGAATAGAATTGCAAAAGCGGCTAACGCGTTTGGAAAACTACGTCACCGTTTTTTGGAATGACAGGGGTATTCGTCTTGCGACAAAAATCCACGTGTACAAAGCAGTTGTCCTCACTACTCTTTTGTATGGATCAGAGGCCTGGACCCTGTATCGTAAGCAGATTCAGCAATTAGATGTCTTTCACAAAGGATGTCTCCGAGCAATCTGTGGACTAACCCTGCAGGACAAAAAATCCAATGCCGACCTTCTAACGATGTGTAACATTGACGGAATTGAGAGCTTCCTCATGAGGGCACAGTTACGATGGGCCGGTCATGTTGTACGGATGCAAGATGGTAGAATTCCAAAGATTCTCATGTACAGCCAGCTTGAAGGTGGTCAACGGAATGTTGGCCGACCCTTGCTCAGGTTTAAAGATAAGCTGAAAAGTAACCTTGCAGCTGCAAATATTGCACACACTGATTTGGAGAATACTGCCTTGGATCGCAAAGCTTGGAAAAGTGTAACTTACACTGGAATCAGGAATTTTTCGGCGGCAAGCGTTGTCAAGCTCCGTGAAGCAAGAGAAAGGAAAAAAGCCTCAGAAGGTGCCAGAGAAGTGCACCCTCTTTGCTCACACGCTTGCCCAATCTGTGGTTTTCTTTGCAAGTCATTAGCAGGTCTGAAATGTCACTCTAGATTCAAACATAAAGGTCATTAAAAAGTTGTCGGAACCTCATACGTCGACCTAACCAAACAAACTTGTGTAAATGGATGGTAGAACAAGGTTTAAGAGAAAAAGACAAAATTTACTAAGAGCTACAATGGGCATAAAATTGTGGAGAGCCATGAACACCAACTTCCTGAAGGGACATGGTACATAGAAGAAAATATGCCAATTAAATTTAGTCTTTCCATTTATACCCATGAAAAAATAAAAGAAATGTTTATCTATTCAGCAATTCTTTTTCTGCATGCCATGTCCCTTCAGCATATAACAAAAGATGCCTTTCCAAAAACTAAGCAAAGTATTAAAAAATAGAAAAATTTTGTTATCGTTCTCCATAACTTCCTATCCTTTGTAGCTTTTAGCAATGTTTGTCTTTTAAGTATCCCTCCACTTTCCCTATTCTGCCATCCATTTACACAAGCTTCTTAGGTAGGTTACTCTTTGTTTCCCTCTTTCATGCCTTCAGTATATTCTGTGAATATCAAATTCTCTGGGCATTCATTCCTCAATATATACTAGAAATGTCAACTGTCCATTTCTGATTCTGAGAATAAGCATACTTTTTGTTGCCATTTTTCTTAAAACTTCCTTGTTATTCACATGCTTGATACCTGCAAGGTATTCTCAGCAGCCTTCTGTAGTGTCATGTTGGACAACTGTGAGTAACAATGAATGAAAGACAAAATATACTGTGTGCTTATCTGCTGCAAACCATGGCATGACTAACTCTGTCTACTAATAGCTGCAGATATTACTTTAATGAAATGTGATTGGTCTCTATAAATAGTTACAGCAGAGTTAACTCTATATCTACTAATACATCACATCTCAAGATATGAGAATTATAATGTTCATTATTGACAGATAAAAAAATTGACATAGTATATTTCATTAAGATATGACGCATGAACAATCACAGGTGTAGACTATCCTCGTGCACCTAGAATTGGTATTATTAAATTTCTGTTCTATATCTGATGGGTTTGTTTATAATGCAACCACTTCTTGTTACAATCCTGCCAGCTTCTGAATGCGGCATATTTGAAGGAGTCTGCTCAACAGTGTCTGACACAGTTGGTTCTTCAGTGTTGAATTCATCAGATATGAGTATTGACCTTCAGTTATCATTCTCTCTTGATGGGCATATGTGTCATCTATATGTTTGTCCTGATGTGGCTGTGGCAATGAATGATCTTGGTTTGTCACTTTTATTAGTGACAATTACTGGTGCTCAAGAATTATCATTTAATTGTACACTTACATGATCATCTGGCTTCAACAATGCAAGTTCATTTTCTATATGTCAATTGTACTATTTCTGCTACTCTTTTTAACAATCAGTGTATCTTTTCTGAATTACAGATACATTTTCTGTATGTGGATAGAGTAAACAAATAGTGGTTAATAATTTTCTTAGACAATGGCTCATTAGAAGTTGTGCAGGAGATTTTCCAACTTTGTCCATTGATTTATTTCTTAGTTCTAGCTATAGGTTCACAGCATTTATTTCCAATCTTTTCAATAGTAACTAAGTCCACATATGCATCTTTTCCCAGGACTGGTGAAATTTTTAGGTTAATAACTTGAAATGTCAGATATGTTGTTGCTGACAGAGTATTTCAATTTTACTTGGCCTTCAGGTTGGATGATATGTTGACTATAAATCTTCAGTTGGACTTTAGTTGTCTTTAGTGCACTGGTGTAATATGTATGCAGTACATTCTTGTGTATTATGTTGGATGGTGTTATAGCATCACTCTACTATTTTTTATGTCCAGTCAGGTTTCTAGTGTGATGCCATGTAAAAATAGGTATTAGTATGACAAGTCATCACTTTCCTTGGCATTTATTTCTGATACACCTTGTGGTTTACCGTGGCACATGGTGTCAAAATGGTTGGGTTTGTGGCATTTTGCACATATTTTTCTGTAAGCTGGTCATTGTTTTGGTGAGAGATTTTTTTCCTGCATTTACCACATGAAATGTGACATATAGGGTTGGTGTTCTGATACTGGTTCCCTGGGTTTTTCTATTTTCTCATTTTTTTAATTTTATTTTTCAATCCTCCTTCTGTTGTACTGATATTTCTTCAATTATACTTTTAATATGGCTCATGATGACTTCAATTGCTCAGCATTTGTCTATTGCTTTGTTTAATGTTACACATAACACATAAAATTCTGTCTAATTAGTCCTGGAGCTTGCCAAATTTGAAGGCCTTAGCCTTCAGTTTTATATGCCAGAAATGAGTCAAGGTAACTGGTTTATACTGAAAAATAAATAAATGATGTACATTATATTTTTTCTGTCAACAGTATTCCTGAAATTTATTTTTAACACTTTGTATTTTGTTCTTGTCATAAGTATTTTCAAATTCAAATGAGTTGAAAATTTGTTGGGCCAGCCACATGTCACCCGGAGGAACGAACGTAGACCTCCCTACCACAAAATGTGTTACCTGTAAGCACCTGCCTAACTACCTACCTCACCTCCTGACTACCAAGCCACTTCATGGAAAACAGCGGGAAGAGTGATGCAACAGTAATTTGAAACAACAACGCGCAAGCTGTAAAGTAACCACAATTAGCAACAGTAATGATCCTTTGGCAGGTTCACCTACGGAAACCTTGTTACAACTTTTACTTCCTCTAAACGATCGGGTTCGAACCTCTTCACCAGACATCGAACACTGAGTTCAACATTTGTAGGAAATAGTGAATGGTGACAGCAAAGCGCACATCCACCACTGTGCCATGTGCACACTGCCCAGCGGTGCCAGCAACCAGAGCAATCATAGGACCTCACCGGATCATTCAACGGGAGATGTATATAAAGGTCAGGGGTTGTTGACCCACACCTACTGGGAATTGGTTACAAGCCCCAATCCTTATCACTGGAAATCATTAAGATATTTCTAAACCCCCTCAGGCCGCGATGAAGTCCCCACTGATACTGCCAGTGTAGTGCTTGTGTGACCCTGGACATCTAAAGGCATCACAGACATGTTATTGCTCCACCTTGTATGGCTTTCTACCACTCGTCCCTCTAAGTAGTGCATGAGAAAAACAACCCAGACCTGGGTGATGCAATAAACGCAAAGCCCACCGTTGAATAAACACACATCAGCACACTAGTTAGGCTAGAGTCTCGTTCATTATCAGAATCAACCAGATGGATCACTCCACCAACAAAGAATGGCCATGTACCACCACCACCCACCAAATCGAGAAAGAGCTATCGATCTGTCAACCCTATCAGTTACCTGACCAGGTGAGTTTTCCCATGTTGAATCAAATTAAGCCACAGTGGTGCCCTTCCGTCATTTCCTTTAAGTTTCAGCTTTGCAATAATACTCCCCCTGGAACTGAACTCTGGTTTCCCACAGGCTACCCGCTAAGTCATGGAAGTGAACACCAGTGGATTGCTGGTCAGCATCATTTACAATCGGAACTATGATGGTATCTGAACCCCTGACCTTCACTCTTGATTGAGAAAAAACATGCTTGCCATATGCCATCACTGCAGTTTGTCTTGTGACAATCCAAGATTTTCACCTCTAATGTTGTAATACAAGAGGCCCTAACTGCTCCCTTTGATTATTGCCTCACTGTAGACAGACCAACAGACGTAGATGAGGCCCTCTTCCATCATTCCATGCTTATTGTAAGCAAGCTTGAACAGCCCACCCTAATCTAATTTTTTCAAAGTGCACGTACTGGCCGCTGCAGACACTTGCTCAAGAGCACCCTTGAAGGAGAAATCGCCAACCACACACACATGTAAAATGGATGCAAAGATGGAGGTAGGTAGAGTATGGCCAGAGGAAACTGGAGTGGAGGTGAACGTGTGGCAGGAAGAAAGAGTGATGATGATGCAACAGTGAACTGTACTGTCTTTTTTCGCATGCCAAAGACCCATTGTCATCAATACCACTCGCAGGAGCCCCACACCGGACACTTACTACTGCCCCACATAACTTCATTGGCAGGACTGTATGGGGGATGTGTAAGCAGTTGACGCTGGCAGAAAGGGCTGGGAATGTGCACAGATGACTGAAGCCAAAACTGGTGCATAAACGCAACCACGAACCCAAGTTCAGACTACAAGCTTTTTAAGCACAACAACTTTAATATCTGCTACCGGCGCTGGAATTACTGTAGCTGCTGGCACCATACTGGCCCTCTGTTTGGTCCTCGTTAACAAATTTGAAGTGTACTTTGTCAAGGCCCCGCAATCGGAATGAGTCCCGTGTAGTTGTTTTTTCTCATTCCTAAGCCATTTGCGGTTTTGCCCATTCTAGTGCATGGCATGAACTTACACTTGCATGGCTTAAGCTTTGAGACAAGCATATGACTACTGGTATTTGTTCATGGTTTTCTATTACTCCAGTAGCAAGCAAATAAAATAATCATTTTGTTGTTCCGAAACTTTATAATTTTTGTCCAGGTTTCCTGAGGTTGATGTTCTTTGGTAGTTTCAAATTCATTTTCTTTCCTTTTTTTATTTTGGTTTACTCTTCTGAAGTCATTTCAGAGTATCCAAACATGTATCCGTTCATAATGTCTGCACCAATTTCAAATAACAGAATGCCTAATTTTGTTCTTTCTTGTCTTGTGTACAAGTTATTCCAACACCATGTTATATATCATGTTAGTGTTGTACCATTCTGGACAATTGTGATTAACAGTGATTGATGAGACAAAATGTACTATGTGCTTATCTGTAGCAACCCCTGTCCTGACTGATTGACTGCTAGTAACTGCAGACAGTACTTTATTGAAATGTGATTGGTCTCTATAAATAGTTACAGGGGAGTTAACTCTATATCTACTGATAAATCACATGTAGAACCACATCTTTCTCAAGTCTCATATTCTGTGAGGAAATTGTCTAGAATTCACTGCTATAGAGGAGGATTGATATTACATCACAGTTGAGCACTACAAGGTTTCGGACAGTATTAAAACCATTGAATAAAAAAACAATTAGAAACCACTTAATCACACTCTCGGAGTAATGCTATAAACTTAAGTGAATCCAACTTCTTCAATTGATACAAAAGTCTTTTGCTCAATGTTATGGTAAGTTCAGCAGTGTTTTGGAAATTTACTCTGTTTTTTTAGTTATTGTGCATACTCTTTAAGAAAGTGTTTTGACTTAATGTATATTCAAAATTGTTTAGACTGTATAATATAAGGGAAAATGCAGTGAAATTTTGACAGTGAATCACTGATGCTTGTCATAATGATGAAGTAGGTGCAAACAACTGGAAAATGTTGGAAGCTATTTGGTTAGTTTAAATTTGAGAAGTTGAACACAAGAACAAAGAACGTCTGAGAAGATTTTATGACTTGAAAACAGATCATTTGGGGAATGAAAGGAGATGTAGCACAATATGTGAACTTGCTGAAAACTTAAAGGTGAATCAATCAACTTGTTTGAGCCAATGAAAAAGAAATACCTTTTACTGTGTAACTAAACCAACTAGTGATTTGGTTGCATGACAAAGTCCATTTTCATGTTACAAGTATGATGCAGGAAATGATCATGGAGTCAAAAGTACTTCAACATATGCCATATTCTGTAGAACTATCACCTTTTGATTGTCATTTGTTTTTTACCATACAAGAGAAATGTGGTTCTATCGAAGGATACTGAGAATACCATGGACCAAACATATGAGTAACAATGAACTTTTATAGAAAATGCACACAAAAAAGATATTTATACTTAACATCAGGAAGTGGCAGTTGAAATTTCTAGGGCATATAATGAGGAAAAAAAGATTGGAAAATTTGATACTCACAGTTCAGATTAAAGGCAAGAGAGACAGGAAAACAATGCATGCCTAGTGAGATTGAGTAAATGGATGATGAAACAAGATTTAAGAGAAAGAACAAAAAAGACAAAATTTATTAAGAACTACAATGGACAGGAAATTGCATATAGAAGAACAATAACAACATTCCTTATGTGGTCAGCAATTTAAACAAGTTTAAGATATTAAAGAATCCATCATATCAACACTTAAATTTTTCTTTTATAATGAAATATACAATTTATCTGAAAGATAGCACAAGGTCATAAGAAATCAAGGAAAATACTTTAATGACTGAAAAATGATGCTATAAATAAAATTATTGTAATTAAAATGCTGAAAATTTTTGCATCAATCTAATACAGTAATGACTTGAGATAACAAGCTTACTGACATACAAGTTTTTTGAGATATGAGCTTGAGTTCAGACAATTTTTTTGCCAAGAGATATTCAGTTAAGTATCCACTACTTAGTGCAACGAGTGGTAAGCTTTGAGAGTATTTCTACTCTCAAAGCTTAATTAATTCACCTCACTCTGGAAGAATCTGTTGTGTTGTGTCTTTTTTGCTTTATCTTGCAAAATTCCTTTTGTGACATCATGGGCCTGAAGAAAGTAAGTGTAAAGAGCAGTGATGAAAAGCCGAAACGTATGATTTCATTTGAGGTAAAGAGGAAAATTATAAAAAACATGAGGAAGATGTACAAGTAATGGATTTGGTGAGACAGTATGAGCGTTCTACATTCACGATAAATAAAAAAATTATAAAATTTAAAAAACATTAGTTACAATAATGGATAAAATGTAAATGTTTTAAAAAATTTAAGGATTAAGTGATAAAGTTAATCTTCAGTATCCTAGACTAGGCTAACTGTTGTTGTCTCTCTCTCTCTCTCCACCACCAGTTGGCCTATGACTTCATGGTTTAGTACAGTTTATTTCTTTACAATTTGTTTTTCCTCTTTCATTTTATTGTTTGTAAACTACATTTCTTGGTTATTCACATGCTTGCTTGTAAAAAACCTGTAAATACAAAATTAGAGGTGAGTTTTAGGAAAATAAGGGTGATTTTTAAGGAGCTGGAATGAATCAGAAATATTCCTATTAATTTTGATGGGGGGAAGGTTGATTTGAGAAACAAGTTTTTTTGAGTTACAAGCTTAGTCTTGGAACAAACTCAGATCTCAAGATATTACTGTATTAGAAAATTAAAGACTTTCTCTAAAAACATCTAGATAGTATGTTAATGCAATAACAACATCTATTCACCAGATTAAATAACAAGGGGGCATTTGCTCTTTTACCTTATTTTATTCATTTATTAAAATCCTTGTTCTTTTATCTGAATTAATAAATGTTTTTTTTACTTTCTACAAAGCTTTACTGACTAAATGCTATAATTATAAGACATATAATGAAAATTTAACTCACTTTTCTACTAATAGTCTATGAGACTGACATACTAACCAAGGTGTATATATTATTAATCATTTCTTGAAATGCAGCTGTTTCTTATTCTGTTTTGTTTTAGTTGCAGCAAAACTTGATATTATGTAGAAAGATATTTTTAATAAATGTATTAAGTTTTTCAATGATTGTAGGAATTTTTTTTTAATATCACTTTTAAATCTTGACAAGAAAACTCTTACAAGTCAGGTCTTTTTCTCAGATTACTATTATTTACAAAATATAGTTTTTTTTCACTTGATATCTGTTCTTATTTCTAAATTTATTTCAACTGTTGATGTTTTTTCTTATTTTAAATTATTATTTATTTATTTTTTATTTCTGCATCAATTTTCCAGCACTGCTTTCGTTTTCCCAGTAGAATTTCCTCATTATTTTCAGACTTGTATTTTCTAATCTGTTGAAAATTACTCAGTCATCTGTGTGTCAGCTGCATAACTTATTATTCCAATTATAGATTCATGAAAATTATGATTCAGTGTAATAACCACATGTGTATACTGTTGTCTTTTATATTAAATGTTTCTTCCTATCACACTACATTTTTTTTAAAAAAAACATGCTGTTTATAAATCAATTGCTGATTATTTCTGAATTATTTCATGGTGTTCCTTTATAACTTATCAAGAGAAAATTATTTGGTAGCTTTGAAATTATTACAGGGATGAGATGGTATTTTTTTTTTAATATTTATTCAGCTTTGTTTAGTAGACCACACAGCCAAATATGAGCAGGAAGATTGTGCTGTCCCAATTTATCAAGTGGCGAAAACCTGCTTGTCTTAAAAATCAGCAGATGCCTTGTACTTTACTGTAACAATAAGCTCCAGAAACAGTTGTTTCAACCATGAGCTTAGCAAAGATGGTAGTTTTTAATAAAAACTAAAGTAATAAAGGTGGTGAGCATAGAAACAACTTTTATATAAGTAAAATTAAATGATATTTTTAACAAAAAGAAAAAAAAAACACTGATTGATGTGATTCTTTTATTTTTGTCTTTATTTATCAATGATTTTACTATGAAAAAAAACCTGTGTGAATACATCAACTTTGAAATTAAGTAAATGTATTTCAGAAGTAGCTGAGGAAACAATAATGTATGTAGGTTCAACTAAACATATTATTTGAAATACTGAGATGATTAATTATCATCATTATTCTATTAGTCATTCAGAAAAGTACTAATATAAACAGCAGAAGTAAGAATACACAAATAAAAAGAATTTGAGGAATAAGAACAGGTGTATTAATTTATACAAGTGGTGCTGAAAATTTCTTGACATGACCCATTTCCCAAAATGTAACCAAACATGAGAATTTTTGTTTTTAATTTTTCCTTGATCAAACCAAAATCTTTTTTGGCATATCCTTGGATATCATCAAAATTAACTGCCATATTTACCAAATTCAAGAATGCTCTGGTGTCAAGGATACACTCCAATTTTAACTTGCAAAATTTTGAAAAAAAAAAAAAAAAAAAATGCATATACAAAATAAGAGATTTGACATTTCAGCCTGTAGGATGCAGGGTAAATTTTTGAGGGAAAAGAAATAACATTTTTGAATGCCAGGAAATACAGTAATTATGTAATCCTATACAAATGTTGAATAGAAACAAAAAATGAGAAAGTTAAAAGAAAATCTGAAAACTAAAATACACTGCACAAAGATCTCTATTCATTATCACAACAGCTTTAGAATCATTAGCAAAAGGCCAAAGTAAAGACAAGCAAAAGTTATCTAACCTCCAACCACATTCATGATATCTTTTGCATTTTTATTGTCTTAGTTTTCAGTTCTGGAGTTTTTTGAAAAAAATAGCAATGATCATGATGATGATAATAATGTTTTAAATTAATAGATATTGGGGTAAAATTAAATCTAGCTGAAAGAAAGTTAATCTCATATTCTCTCTCCAGTTTTTTTCCATTGACAACTTAACTCTTTTTTTTCTTACCATCTCTTAGTCTAGCAGAAAACTTGT